TTCTCCCTCCTCCCTCTCCTCTCCCTCTCCCTCCGCCCTCACCTCCCGTCTCCTCCCTCTCCCCTCCCTCTCCCCCCCCTCCCCTCTCTCTTTCTCACCCCCAAACACTCCCTACCTGCACATCTCCTCCCTCCTTACCCGCACGGCACACAAGCAAGCCGCTGCTCCATCTCGCCAGCGCGCATGCTTACTCCTCCCATTTCTCCATGGCTCAACGCTTCCGTCTCATCTCAACAGCGCAATCGCTGCACGCGACTGCAATGCAATGCAATGCAATGCAATGCAATCATTTCCCTCGCCCCTCTACAATCACTGCATGCCTCCTGGCTAGCCTACTGCCTTATCTGTGTTCCATATCTGTATGCCCTCCTTCCTTACCACTGCGATGCGAACCCTGCTGCTATTCAGCCCCTCATGCGTAGCATACGGTACTTGTGTGCAACATGGAATCTATCCTTCACTTTCTGGGTGTGGTTGTGATGGTACCGTCACTGGAGAGGTGGAAAAGAGGGGGTGGCAATCTCTACCCGTGTTCGTTCTAGGGAACCTTAGGAGGAATAGTGTATTTTTCCAGTGTTGCTAGAAACCTTAGAAACTTTTAATATGCTGGTGGGATTCATTCAAGGCCTACTAGTACCTATGTCAAATGGAGTAGTCCATACACTTGGACATCCGTGCATTGCATATGCTTTAGGGTGAATTTGTGGAGGCCCATCAGATTGTATCATCTCATCTTAGCAGAGTAGAATCACTAGGCATGGTACTGTAATAATATACATGCGATAAGCAGCTGTTTTGCCATCACAACAAGTACGATATCTTCTGTACAGTGCACAAAACAACTGTTGCACTTAGCATGAAAATAACTACACCTACCCGTCACTGCATCTCCCCCTACACGCCCGTTCCATCTCAGGAAGGAATCCTTTCAGCAGCTGGACTGGAACTTGGGTGGGAGATGAAAGGCCAGGAAGCGATGCAGAAGCCGCTCTGCCACACACATGCCCTCATGCATCACCTGCTCGTGCTGCTTCTTCTCCTGCTGCTGTTGCTGCTGCTGCTGCTCCTCCTCCTCCTCTTGCTGTTGGTGCAGCTGGGAGGGATATGAGTGGAGGGCTTGGGCCAGGAGAGGAATGCGCGAGGGCTTCATGTGACACACCACCACAATGGCACCTTCTATCACCCTCCACGCTCCTCCATTGGAAAGGCCGCTGCTGCTGCCGCCACCGCCGCCGCCGCAGCCGCAGCCACTAGAGGTGGTGGTAGTGGGTAACAAAGCTGATCCATCCTGCTGCTCCTCCTGCTTTCGCTCCTCCTGCCTCGCTTTCTCAACGTCGGCTGAGCTCTGAAGCCGGTCCAGAGCCTTAGCCGCATCCAACCACTCAGTAAACCCCTGCATGTTGCCAAACTCCTGCCTCCACTCCTCCACACCCCACCCCCACTCCCCACAGTCCAGCACCATGCCCTCCCGTCCGTCCATCCACACGAGAGGAAACCGTGCTTCTGCCAGCGTATTGGTGGCGTGGAGGTAGGGCAGAGGCTAGGGAGGCAGCAGTGTCAGCACCATACAGGCGAAAATAGTCTTCTAGGTTTGCTGCTACACATGCCGGCCCACCGAATATTTCCGCTACCCTGGTGGGACGAGAGGCGGAGGGGAGGGGGAGATGGGAGCGGGGGAGAGAAAGTTGAGGAGGGGGGGTGAGGGGGGGCGGGGGGTGGGAGAGCGGGGGTGCAAGGGTGTCCGTGGGGAGTGGGGGTCAGGGGAAGGGGCGGGGAGAGCGTGGAACAGAAGTGGAGGGCGGGGAGGACTGGAGTGGAGTGGAGCAGGCACTGACCTGGAGGCTCGGCGCGCCACACAGGGCATGTGCCAGTGGGGGAAGCGGCACACGTGCGCGATCCACGCGCAGAAGCGCGGAGACCCCACGTGCTGCCACTCCCCGCCGTCCAACACATACGCCGCCGCCGCGTCGTCCAGCCACTGCAGCGGCGGCTCCCCCCGCCGCCCCTCGCGCAGCTGGCGCAGGTACCGCCCGCGCACGCCTAGCTTGCGGATCTGCTCCCGTTCTTCCGCCTCCGCCCTCGCCTGCTGCTGCGCCCGCTGCTCCTGCTGCGGCTGCTGCGCCTGCTGCGGGGCTGCGGAGCGAGCAGCTCCGCGCGTTGCGCCTCCGGTGCGCTGATGGTCGCGGCGACGCGCTCGAGGCAAACAACAATGCGCGCGTATTGTTCCGGGAAGTCCGCGTCGCCCACTATTGCCTGCCATGGCTTTAAATAGTACTGCCGTCCGTTCCATTCAAACCACACCCGCGCGCCGCCGTCTCTTCCCCCATCTGCCGGTACCGCCTCCCCACACTCCTCCCCCTCCTCCCCTTGCTCCCCGTCGTCCGCTTCCTCCCCCTCTCCCCAGTCACCGCATCTTCTCCCGCTTTCGTCGCCGCAACAGAGTCCGCAGCCCTCCGCCTTTCCGTCCGAGGTCTCCGCCACACACCATGCGCGCACCTCCGCGCGGAGCTCTTCCTGCGCGCGCACGATGGCGCGCACCGTCCGCGCGTCCACGCGCACGCTTCCCCTTCTGCCGATTCCTTCCGCGCCGCCGATTACTTCCGCGCTTTCGCGCGCCCGAGCCGCCTTAAGCAGCCGTTGGCGGCGCCAGAGCGCCACGCGCAGAGAGAGATGCTCCGCCAAGGCAGAGAAAAGCGCGCCGAGGGGCGCAGGGGGGGGCGCAAGGAGGGAGCCCGCGCGGGGAAGCGCGCGCGTCTTCCCCGGGGGAAAAGATTTGACGGAGGTGGAAGGGTAAGGGGAAGAGGGCGTCTGCGGGGAGACGGGGGAGAGGGAGGAGGGAGAGGAGGACGGCGGGGAGGGGGAAGTAGAGGGGGAAGAGGGGGAGGAAGTTTGCGCGGGGGAGGGTGCAGGGGCACTGAAAGGAGTGCGAGAGAGGGGGAAGGGAGGGCGCGGCGTTGACGGCGTGAACGCAGGGTCGGAGAGTTCAAGAGCGGGGAGGCTCGAGGTTAACTGGCGGAGACTGGCGGAACTCGCGGAGAGTGAGACGGGCGGGGAGGCGCGCGAGGGCGCGGCGGGACGCGCGGATGCGTGGAGCGTAGCCGGAAGGGGAGCGGACGTGGCGGGAGAGGGGGAGAGAGGGACAGCAGGGGAGGGATGGAGAGCGGGGGAACAGGGAAGGCGAGCGGGGGATGGCACCACTTGGCGGAGGAGTGTTGCGCGCAGTGCAGCGCGGCGGGAATAACTCCATGGCCGTCGTCTGGCGGCGACAGAATATCCACCAGCAGGTCGCCGTCCAATAGAGACGCGTCGTCGGCATCGCCGCCGGCGCCACCCGAGTCGCATCTCTCGTCGTCATCCTCTCCCGCACTCAGCGTCTCCGCGCGTTTCATTTCCCCTTCTTCCTCCTCCTCCGCCGACTCTCCTGCCAGCGCTGCGGGTGCTGCAGGCGCTATCGGTTCTGCCAGCACGAGTCCTTCCCAGCAGCTTCTCGCTGCTGCGGCCGTTTCTTCTCCACCCACTGCTTCCGCCAACGCGTTCCTCGCCGCACTCCCGCTTCCGCAACTCCCTTTATTTCCCCCTGCAGCGCGCGCCCCTTGCGGCCTGACCACCGCGCCTCCTCTTTCCTCCGCTTCGCACCTTCCCAACTCCCCATAAACATCAACCGCATCACGTTCCGCATTTCCCGCACCTCCCCTCAGCGCCCCCGAGACCGGCGCCGCTTCCGCGGGCCGCGTGGAGGGGGCGGGGCTGCGGGGAGCTTCGAACAAGGGGATGGGCGTTGGCGGTCGAAAGAACGGCTGGTGCGGGGTTGGGCGGAGGACTGATGATTGCGCGTCCTGCTGTTGACATGGAAGGAAACCCGCCTCGTCCCTTAACTGCTCCTCCTGCTGTTGCTGTTGCTGCTGCTGTTGGTGGCTTTTTAAATGTTGCGGCTCTAGCGCTGCACTCCTGCTGCCGTTTTCGCTACTGCCCGCGGATGCCGCCGTGCCAAGGCGCGACCACGAGCGATTGAACCGGGAGCTTCGACCGTGCCGTCCGCTAATGCCGCTGGTATGGTGGCCGGCCTCTATCGGCCCCGAGGAAACTGTCGCATGCTCAGTCGCATGGGCGTCGCCGGGCGACGACGAAGTCGCGGAGGACAAGTCGTCGTCTGCGTCGTCGTCGCGGCAGCAGCAGGGGCAGCGACAGGATTTAAGGCCGTCGCGAACGTATTCGCGGTGAGATATGGCGGAACGAGTGGATGTAATGCCGAGCGGGTTCGGGGGAAGACGGGCGGAAGGCCACGCGGAGACGCTCCGAAGGGGTTCCCTCGATGACCTGAACGCGGTTGAGGGTATTTCGACGTCACTGTTGGTGATGCTGCTGTTGCTAGACGGAAGAGTTTCCGACGCGCCATCGCTTGTCGTGCAGTCCGAAAAGGTGGCGAGTCGACTGGTAACATCGGGCTCGACAGGGGCACGTTCTACGCCATGAGGCGAGGCTTTGATAGAAGCCGTGGCAGCTGCCATGACTCGCAACGGACGCTTGGTGGAATGGGTGCCCCTAGCAAGCTGCCTTATGAGCTCGGTAGTGTGTCATCGGGCTGTTCGTTTTGAACGAAGCTGGAGTCGAGGGTTTAGGTGCTAATTTAACCGCTTCCTCCACGTACTGCTGGAGGAGGGGCTTCTTTTTTGGAAAGAACAGTGAAGAGGAAGAGAGGGAGGGGAGGGGAGGAAGGCAAGGTTCAGAGGTCGGTGGGTGGGGAGAGCGGGTTGTTGTGATTGGCAGGCCAAGACATGAGCGGGTCGGTTCGGGTTGGGATTGGGTGGTTTTCGAGGTTGATTTGGGGTTAGAAACGACACAATATGGAAGCTGGGTCGGAAGGATCGCTGCAAATGGTGCATGGACATTGCTGCCTTCTCGAAGCGCTGGGCTGGGAAAAACAATTTGGAAGCAACAGGTTGTGTCATTGAAGAGTTTGAAACTTGGCCGAAATCTCCACATTCGGCATACTACACCTAACCACCGCTATTTTCTTTCGGTCTATCTTCAACCCCCACGTGTGCAAAGGGGTAGGCACCCTTCAAAACGTTTTTGACCGAGGGTTGTGTCGGACGTCATACGCTCTACGCAGAGTTAGTTCCTGACTCCTGAAAGCTACGCAATGGGATGCGCAACAACAAGCAGACTCCACACGAGCCGAAATTGTCTTACACTCGCCCGATTGAAATCTCCATTTGATGTCATTCATAGTCCCCTATAACGAGGTTTCTAACAGAAAACCCCAAAAGCTGGGCAGGGATTACATGAAAATCGGGAACAGTGCCAAGGTCAGAAGTTGAAAATAGCGGTGGCTAGGTGTACATGGGGTACGTGTACACGATATTAGACAGATTCACACCAGGGTGCACCATCAAAACAAAAAACATCTCGGCGGTAATGACGTGTGGAGCCATCCCATGTGCGGGTCAGCAGTTCACATGTTTTTTTCGTTGTCGAAATACCCGCCAGCTGGCGCCTTTCTTACCTGAATAATACCGACAAAAAGGAGTTGAGGCCAGCTGTCGTTACCTTTTGGATAACGCACTGTAGAATTGCGTAAGTGTGGCCGTTTCGGATTGCATATGCGATTCGATTTCAGTTACCCTCACATTTCAACAGTCTCGCTCGAGGCGAAATTTGTTCGACTGCCAGGTTTTGACCAATCGGGCTAGCGGAAAGTAAATTGGTCAGTCCCCACGGACGACACCCAATCCACCCACAAATGTTGAGCAAGGGAGGGTCCACCACACGGAGCACAGTATTTACTCTCCGACAATGTTTTACTGTTCTGTGCCCATCAACAACAAACCACCAAGTGCTCTAGTTCACAATGCACTGCAAAAACATGGCATATGCATTTTCTTTATGAGACATATGACACCAGCGGTATAGTTAAATCCGTGCAGTATATCCGTGCAGCCCCACACAACGCAGCTCTAAAGCTCAAAACCTTCGCAGATTCGTTTTTTAGTTGTCCACGACTTGAAATCACATGCAGCACAAGTGCTATGGACCCACGCAACCACATCAGCATTAAACTCAGCCCTGCAAGCAGGTAGATAGACCATACACCTCCCCACTTCAACTCTCCTCCTGTATACCTTCAGCATCTTCCTCCACTGCCCTTCCCCTGCGAAAATTCTTCCTGCCCGTCTTTCCTCCGCCCATCCTGAACCCTCCCTTGGTTGGGCGTGTCCCATGCCCGTCCTTATCCCCTACGGCCAGAAGAGTAGCAGGAAGGTCCTGGGAGGAATCAGCAGCACCAGGGATGCATGCACCAGCAGCAGCAGAAACTGCAGTGGATAAGTTTCCAGAGGCAGCAGCACCACCACCGCCATCACCATCAGCAGCAGCAGGAGCAGCAGCAGAAGAAGCGACACCCGCATCAAGCACGGAAGCAGCATCAGCATCATCAGCAGCATCATCCAGCATACCCGAAGCTGCTATGCCAAGAGGACCCTTCCCCCCACCCCCACCAGCAGCACCACCACCAATACCACCGCTACCAGCACCAGCAGGAGCACCAGCAGCAGCAGCAGCAGCAGCAGCAGCAGCAGAGGAGGAGGAGGAGCAGCAGCAGCAGCAGCAGCAGCAGTAGCAGCAGCAGGAGCAGCAGCAGCAGCAGTAGCAGCAGCAGCGCTATCCACTTGCATGTGGTCGTGCTTGTCGCCCCCGTCCTTCCTGCCTGCACCAGCCTGCCTCTCCGTGCGCCTCACAAACACAACTCTCTTCGGCAACCCACCTTCAACCCCCACTCCCACTCCCACTCCTCCTCCCACTCCCACTCCTCCTCCCACTCCCACTCCTGCTCCTGCTTCTCCTCCTGCTGCTGCCTTTCCACTCCCTGTTTCCTCACCCGCCTCTCCCTCCCCCCTCACATCTCCACCACCACCACCAGATCCCCCCCCCCTGCCTGCTCCCGCTTTCCTCACACCCACAACCTGCTGTAGCGCTGCTCTATACTCCCCCATCTCCCCCATCTCCTCATCCCCCCCGTCCCCCCCATCCCCCCTAACCTCCCCCGCCCCCCCAGCACTGGCCCCTCCCCCGCGCTCGCCTGCAGGGCCCCCTTCCCCCCACCCGCCAGCCCACCAGTCCACCTCATAAGCCGTGTACTTATGTGGGTTGCGCACGTGATCCGGCACACACCTGCCACTCCCCCTTCCTCCGCTTGCCTTTCCTCCGCTCGCCTTTCCTCCACTCCCTCTCCCTTCCCAGCCCCTGCTCCCCTCACTCATCCCCTGCTCGGCTTCTCCAGCCACACTACTCCTCCCTGCCTCACACATACCATCACCCACCGCTTCCAACCCCTCTCCACCGCTCCCTCCCAGCGTCTGACCCGCCTCTCTCAGTGCATCGCCGCCACCAGCAGTCTTGCCTAAAACCATGTCTGCTTCCCCTTGCTGCTTCCCTCTTGCACCCTCGTCCATTGATGTGCCTTTCCGCAAGCCCTCTGCTCCCTTGGGATCTTCCTCAGCTCCTTCCTTGGCATTCACAGCACTTGAAGCTGCTGCTGCAGCATCTGTACCTGCAGCATCTGTATCATCAACCTTTCCACTCCCTCCGCCACCATCCTCACCAGCAGCAGCAGCAATCCCCTTTCCTTGCGCCTCCCCTCCAGCACCGCCACCACCTCCTCCCCCCACCGCTCCTTCTCCCCCACTCCCACTAACATTAGCCCGACTCATCTGCCCACATATCAACCCCATTAACCTCTTCCCCACCCCCATCCTCTGCCTCCTCTTCCCCCCGCCCCCCACGCCCCCCCACCTCCCCACCCACTCCCCCCCCCCATGCACCTCCATCGTCCCTCGCTCCCTTCCCTCCACACCCCGGACCCATGCCACCACCACTCACTCCCCTCCGCCCCTGCCCCTGCCATCCCATGCGGAATAGGCCCCTCAAAGGGCTCTCTCTCTCCTCTTCCTCCTCCCCTCCAACCACTCCTTGCGCGAACCTCACCCTGCGCTGCCTCTGCCTCCGCCCCTCCCTTGTCCCATCCAAGCCATCTTCCCCTCTCTTGCCACCATCGCCCCCCATTGCGTCTGCACCTGCTGCTGCTTCTGTTGCTCCAGTTCCTGTTCCTGTTCCTCCTTCTCCTTTTATTACTGCCCCTGTGGTTCCACTGTCCCGCCCCTGCTTATCCTCGTTATCGCACACTCCACTATCTGCGTCTGCCCTTGACCGCTTGCCCAGCTTCAGAATCCCCTTCAACGGTGCACCACTGCTCCTGCTACTAACAGAAACTTTTGACTCAGACGCACTCTCACCAACAGACGCAGAAGCATCAACAGCAGCAGCAGCACCAGCAGCAACACCGGCATCAACAGCTGCAACGTCGCCTCCCTCCTCCTTCCCTCCCTCATGCTCCTCCTTCCCTTCCACTTCAACCAAACCTTCTCCTACCTCTCCTGCCTCCACACCCATCCCTCGCTCCTCTTGCTCGCCCCCATCCGCCCCTATCATCTCTACAGAAACCACCCCCACGCCATGGCCCTGCAAGCGGGAGTCACTCCACCTCTTCTCTTTGCCACCGACTTTCCCCTCTCTTTCACCTTGTTTGTCTGAAACAGCCCCTTCCACTTCTCTTTCCCCTTCTTCTTCTTCTCCCTCGCCTGTCACTGCAACCTCTACAGCCCCTTCTGTAATCTCCTGTCCTTCAGGTCCCTTGCCCTTGCTCCCCTCCCCCTCGTGCGTTCTTTCTGGCTGCTCTATAGCACCTGCTTCCTTTCCACCAAAATCCGCAATTGCACTATGAGCACTAGCAATCACCATCGCAGAAGGTAGGTCACTTTCCCCCTCAGAAGCAGGACCAGTGGCAGCAGCAGCAGCACCAGAAGCAGCAGAAGAATCTAAGGCAGCAGAAGCAGCTGCAGCAGGAGCAGAAGGAGCAGGAGCAGCAGGAGCAGCAGCAGTGGCAATACCTGCACTCACCTCCTCCTCACGCATCTCAACATCACTCCCAGCCACACCTCCAAGTGCCCTCTCCTCCTCACCACTCTTCACCCCATCACCATCCTTCTCCCCAATATCTTCCAGATCCTTCTCCCACCATCCCTTCCCTTCCTCCTCTTCCTCCCTCCCTATACCCACCCCTCCACCCCCTTTTTCCCCCCTCTGCTTCCCCCTCCCCTCACCATCTCTCTCCCCTCCCCCTTCTCCCTCAACACTCCCCGCGTGCCCCGCTTGCTCCTCCTTCCTCCCACCGGTCCCCCTCCCCCAAAGCCCTGAACCCCAACCCCCCTCTCCCAGGCGAAAATCACTCACAACACCAACAGCAGCACCAGCCCCAGCGGTGCCACTCTCCTTGCTCGCACCACCACCACCACTCGCTGTGCCAGCCTTGAATAGCTCATCAAACGCCTGGTTCCAGCTCTGCCTGCCACGCCACCCCCCTGCACTTTCTGCCCCTGCTTCCCCTGCTGCTGCACCTGCTGCCCCTGCCCCTGCTGCCCCTGCTGCTCCCTTCACTGCCGGTTTGGGTGAGGCCGCTGGTGACAGTCCCGCGCCATGCTGCTCGCCTTCCCCACCTGCTGCTGCTCCGTCCTTTCCGCCCTTCTCTGCTGCTCCCTGCGTTGACGCCCCTGCTCCCCCTGCTGCTCCTGCTCCGTTCTCAGTTGCTTCTTTCCGTGTTCCTCCAAGCCCATGCGAGGCCCAGGAGGGCTCCAACAGTCCAGCAGCAGCCGCCACAGCAGCAGCGCCGGACCCCTGCGCCTGCCGCCAGTCCTCCTCCAGCCTCCGCGCTGCACTCTCCACGTCCCCTCGCCCCCGCCTCGCTCCCACCACCGCACCCGCCGTAGCACCCGCCGTAGCACCCGCCGCAGCAACAGCAGGCGCAGCAACACCAGAAAAGGCAGCAGCAGCGCCAAGAAGAGCGGTAGAAGATGCACCAGCTGCAGCTCCACCGCCGGCGGCAGCAGCAGCGCCAGAAGCAGCATCAACAGCAGCAGCTTCTAGCGCAGCGCCTTCTGATGCCTCTCTGAGATCCTCCCCCGCTCCCATCCGCTGGAAAATCCGCCCCACTCGATCCACATGCTCCTGAAACTCGTTCCGCCAGTCCACCCCCCCCCCCCCCAGCCCTCGCCCACCCCCGCGCCCGCGCCCCCTCCCCTTCCCCCTCCCCCGCCCCTTCCCCTTCCCCTTCCCCCTCCCCACTGGCACCAGCGCCCCCGCCGACGATCCCCCCATCCCCGCCCCCTCCGCTCCTCCCGTCCCCGCCCCTCCCTTTCCCGCCCCTACCCCCCCAACCCCTCTCAAAACCCCCCCACCAGCCGCCGCCACGTCATCCTCATCCGCTTCCTCGTCAGAAACCTCGCGCTCCAGGTCAGCTTCTCCGCCGCCGCCGCCGCCGCCGCCGCCTCCGAATCCTCCCAATCCCACGGCCTCCGCGAATCGGTCGTATTCGTCTTCTTCCTCCTCCATATCGAGTGTATCGTCCGTGCCCACCCATCGCGCCATGTCTTGCGCCTCCTCCGCCGCCCCCATCGTCGCGCGCAGATTCAACTCCCCTCCGCCGCTCCCCCCTCTCGCGCCGCCCCCCCTGCCGCTGACCCGATCCTCGTCCCCCCCTAAATCACTCCAGCCCTCCTCATCCTCTCCCTCCTCATCTTCTTCATCATCATCCTCTCCCTCCTCTCCCTTGTCGTCTTCCTCTCCCGATAACCCGTTCCCACGCAATCGACCTCCCGCCGCCGCTCCCGCCGCCGCTTTCGCCGCGCCTGCGGCCGCGGCTTCCATGTACTCTCGCCGTGCGATCCGCCTCGCCTCCTCCTCCATCTCCTCCTCCTCATCGTCGTCGTCCTCATCACCGTCGGATGCCCATCTGCCATACTGACCAATCACGGGATCGGATGCTGCTGAGTCACCCGCGCCGCACTCCGTGATACGCACCATGCTTGCGAACCGTCGCCGAGACGTGTGCTGACGTAAGTTTCAAAGCCGATCCTAACAGTTTCGAGGCGCTTACCAAAAACTACGACTGCCACTTGTAACTTCCAAACAGAATCCCGATTTGCCTCGACCATGCACATCTGGATTTACCGCTAGCTATGGTTGCTGTGGTAGGTCGCTTTAGCTATACGCTATCACAATAACGGAGACGCTAGCTGACCCGACCCAATCACCACAGGCGAATTGATTCACAAATCTACACATAAGGAAATAAGGCAATGCTTATCCAGCCTGTAAAACCAAAGCATCAGTACAAATGTTCCAGGTAAAACGAGCATAAAACGAGCATAAAATCTTTCGCTAAAACGAGCATTGTCGCAAAGGATGTACAATACATTGCCTCTCTGATATGTCATTTCAATTTGAAGTTATATTAGATATAATATACATACAAACACATTTTGTTAGTTTTCTAACCAGATGGTTATCGAATCTTTGTGCAAATGGATTTTGGAGCATCTTTGTCTTTTCAAGTTAGACCCGCGCCACCTACCACTCCTATGCTGCCGATCCATACCACCTTCTATCCGCATTGGCCCTTCTGGTCTGATAACGTACGCTGATGTGATTCTGGAGATCGAAAGAGGGCAGTGGGAGCGGTCGGGCGCGGTTTTCCCCAGTGGAATGCGGTTGTACACACTCACCAGAGGCATCTGCTCTTTGCCTCTCCCGCTGCCCGCAGCCCGGGGTTGTGATGCAACACCAAAGTCACCAGAAGCATTGTGGGGAAGTGTGTCGTTGAGGTGACGAGTGTCATTGAGGGGGTGTTGTTGCAATGGGCCAACGTGGTTGGCATACAGGGTGAAAGGCAGGCCACACGGCCTGTAAGTAGGTGCATTGGGCTGCGGGGGAGAAAGGAAAAGTGCAGGGCGCGGGTGTGGGTGTGGGTGCGGGGAAGAATGATTGTTGTAATGGGCCAACATGAGTGATGTACAGGGTGAAAGGCAGCGCACACACCGGGGAGTCTGGCAGCTTGGCTGTCAATGCACCCACATAATATGGACACACACACACACACACACACACCCACACCCACACCCCCCCCCCCCCCCACACACACACACACACACACACCCAGGCGCACCTCCTTGCGGCGTGTATCGAAGGTGAAAGCAGGACCGCGCTTGTGCCACCGGAACGACTCAAACGTGCGCTCTGCCCGCTCCAACTCCGATAGCTGTCGCTCCTGCCATGGACCATGCGGGAGAGAGGGAGAGACATGCAGGCAGTAGGTGGAAGGTGGGGCGAAGGGGTGGGGAGGGGGGGTGAGTCGACTCAAACGTGCGCTCTGCCCACTCCAGCTCCGACAGCTGTCGCTCCTGCCAGGGACCATGCATGCACCACGTGGGGAGGGGGGACAGACATGCGGGCAGTATGTGGAAGGGGCTCGGGTTTGAGTCGACTCAAACGTGCGCTCTGCGCGCTCTAACTCCGACAGCTGCCGCTCCTGCCAGGGACCATGCATGCACCACGTGGGTTGGGGACAGACATGCGGGCAGTATGTGGAATGGGGGCCGGGGGTGGGTGGAAGGTGGGGCGAAGGGCGTGGGAGGGGGCTTTGAGTCGACTCAAACGTGCACTCTGCCCCGCTCCAGCTCCGACAGCTGTTGCTCCTGCCATAGACCATGCGGGAGAGACAGGGAGAGACACGGGGGCGGGAGGGGGAGGAAGGGTCCACAGGCGCCTCAGAAATGAGCTAAAGCTTTAAAAGCTGCCGCACCTGCCATGGACCATGGAGCATGGAGCATGGATCACATGGGAGAGACGAGGAGTGGAAGGTGGGCGAGGGGGGGGGACTACATTTGAGGCAAATGAGAAATGAGCTACGTACCGCTCTGATAACAGCCGCACCTGCCATGGACCACGGACCATGGAGAACGGACCATGGAGCACGGACCACGTGGGGGAGACTAGGGAGCAGGAGATCAAGGGTTTGACAATTGTGAGCGCTAGTCTCCCCCACGTGGTCCGTGCTCCATGGTCAACAAGTGAGCGCTACCCCTCTCTGGCAACAACCCTGTCAAGGTTTTGAGAATTCTCAAAAACACCCTGCGACCTCAATAATGAGCAAGAGCTCTTATAACTAAGCCAAGAACGTGGGAGAGACAAGGGAGCGGAAGGTCGATGGGAGAAGATGGAGGAGGGAGGTGGATGAGGGAAGGTGAAGGACGTCGGAAAATTCCCCTACTCGCACTCACTGCTCTCCCCACTGCTCACGCTCAGTGCTCACACTCCGATTTCCCATCCCACCCAGAACGTGTATACCTAAAGCACAGCTCCCACCCACCTAGAGCCTACATACCTTGGGGTAGATCTTGATTGCGAAACCCCACGAGATGGCTGCTGTCCAGTTGGCCCTGCACGCAGGGACGCAGTCGGGTGGGCACGCAGGGACGCAGTCGGGTGGGCACGCAGGGACGCAGTCGGGGGGCACGCAGGGAGAGGAGAGGAGAGGAGAGGAGAGGAGAGGAGAGGAGAGGAGAGGAGAGGAGGGAGGAGAGGAGAGGAGAGGAGAGGAGGGGAGGGAGAGGGATGCATGGGTGCTTTCCAGCTGGCTCTGCATGGGGGATGGGGGAGGGATGAGGGAGGGATGGGGGAGGGAGGGAGGGGATGGGGGAGGGATGAGGGAGGGATGGGGGGGGATGAGGGAGGGATGGGGGGGAGGGATGGGGGAGGGATGGGGAAGGATGGGGGAGGGATGGAGGAGGGATGGGGGAGGGATGGGGAGGGGTGGGGGAGGGAAGAGGCCACAAGCTTGCAATACACCCAGCAATGAGCCCAGCCCAATTCATTTCAATCGCCATGTCATCGCGTCATCGTTGCTTCAATGGTTCTGTTGCCCTCTCTCGTCCCGACCATCCCATCCGACCATCCCGTCTGCCCCATTCCTTTGTGCGCAATATCTTTGCTTGCTCGCCTGCAGCGTCTCGAGCTCACCATTCATTCCCACCCCTCTCCTCTCCCTCTCCCCTCTCCCTCTCCCTCTCCCTCTCCCTCTCCCTCTCCCTCTCCCTCTCCCTCTCCCTCTCCCCTCTCCTCTCCCCTCCCTCCCCTCCCCTCCCCCTCCCGCTCCCTCTCCCCCTCCCCCTCCCGCTCCCTCTCCCTCCCCCCACCCGTCTCCCCACATCCTCCACCTCTCACCCCTCCACCCCAGCTCTTCCCCCCTCCCGCCCTCCCCACTCACCCATCCCCACACACTGCCAGCTGTGCAAACCCGATCGGATCCGGCCTTATCCGCTGCGCCAGCGCGGCAAGCCCCTGCGCGCGGCTCTTAATCCCGAGAGGCTTGAGAATGGGGTCGACTATGTCAAAGTGATGGAGCGAGAGGAGCGGCTGAGCGGGGTGCGACATGAGCAACCCGAATAGGCTTTTGTGCAGGTCGCACTGGTGGAAGCCCGGAGCAAGAGTGAGGGATACCTGCAAGGGGAAGGAGGAAGGGTTGTGGAGAGTGGGAGGGAATGAAGGAGGGAGGGGAGGACAGGGGAGAGAGGTTGAGAGGACGAAGAGTGAACGACGCTGGTGTAGACAGGACAGGCAGGCACTCGCTCCTATCTCGCTGGTGTATCACCCTTGACCGCTCGTGACAGCTGGCATCCAGTCCAATGTCAAAACGCTGGCGAGCGTTTTCGCGATTGTTTTGATACTCAACATTCGCTGATTCGCCAAACTCGAGAAACTGACAGCCCCAGCCCTACCCAACCGCGCAGCACCATACTATATCTACCAAACCCAACCCAGTCGCCATTCTACAAATCACATTCACTCAATTTTTAGTCGCCAGTTAGGGTTCCTAATCTCCTAAGAGACTCACTCCCAGCTCGCCGACACAAGCAGCGACGCGCTCGTCACTCCCCCGCAACTTCGCATGCCTCTCGAGACACAAGTCCATGCCGATCCCCGCGCTCAGCGCTTTCGCCAGCTTTTGCGGCGGCTGTAATTACTCACCCCCAATTCGCCGACACAGGCCGCGACGCGCTCGTCGCTTCCCCGCAGCTTCGCGTGCCTCTCAAGACAAGGATCCATGCCCTCCCCCGCGCTCAGCGCTTCCGCCAGAGCCGCGGACACTGCGAATCCCGCGCCGCCAAACGCCATGGTGCGCGTGAAGTCGACGTTCTGCATGTGCGTCTCGGAGGTGGATCCGAGGTAGAGCGGCGCGCGATGGTCGTACTGCTGGAGGAAGGCTGCGATTGCGCGCGGGCTGAAGAACGTGTCGTCGTCGCCCATCACGTACCTGGTGGAAGGGGAAGAGGAGGGGGAGGGGGAGGGGGAGGGGGAGGGGGAGGGGGAAAAGCAGCGCGCGGTGGTCGTGCTGTTTGAGGATGGCTGCTATTGCGTGTTGCCTCCCGGCCCGATGTGAGCATAATCTCATGCTGTCAGAAGAAGCGGCGCGACGCAGAAGGAATGCGCGTGAGGGAGTTGGGGAGACTGGGAGTGGGGGAGACTGAGTGAGGGAGTGATCAGGTGAGCGTGTGAAGGAGGGAGGGAGGGAGGGGGGGGAGGGAGAGGAGACGCACCATCGCACGTTTTTCTCCCCGAGCCTGTACGCGTCCACCACGACTCGCGCCATGCGCACGTAATCCCGAATCGCCTTTCCCCGGTAACTCAGATGCTCCGTGCTGCTGCTCACGCGCACACGGGGCGTGCCGCCCGCGCCGCACTGGAGCGCCTTGGAGATATTCGCCACGTGATCCACCCACACGTAGCCGCGGAGACGCTCTTCCGCGGCGGAGGCGGACGCGGAAGAGGAGGCGGAGGCGGAGGCGGAGGCTGCGCCGATCTCGGGCCGCCACCAGGCACGTATGTAGCGCACGCGCTTCGAGAAGCTGGCATTAGACGACGCGATGTTGAAGAGAATATGACGCACCCCTGTCTCCTCCTCCTCCTCCCCCTTCTCCTCCTCCTCCTCCTTTCCTCCCAATTTTCCCTCATCCTTTTGCCGTTGCGTCTTCTCCTCCTCTTGTTCCGAGGCGCCGCCCCCCTTTCCCCGTACTTCCTCCGCTTCCCTGCGGCGTACCGTCTCTATCCCCACGTTGGAGCCATTGCGATTTGTAGTAGCGGCATCATGATCACCGCTGCCGCCGCCGCCGCCGCCGCCGCTGCCGCCGCCAGACTCTTTCTGCTCAGACTTCGCCGGGTCGCTGCCGCAATCATCCAAGTCAGACCCGTCAGTGTTATCAAGAAAATAATATTCATCATCTTCATCGTGAGAGAAAGCAGCTCGCAACCACTCCCACCACGATCTCAACAAACCCGGGGATTCCGAACGTTGAGAAGCCGCTGCGGCAGATGATTCGGCGTCCGCGGCGCGGAGCGTGTCAATTAAACTCTTTATTGCCGAGTCGGCGGCGTGTATGCTGAACGCCGTCGTTCTTGCGGGAAGGTCCTTTTGAGCGGTGACGACTGCGTCTTGAGCACGTTTGTTCCAGACAACGACGCGAAACGGGGGAAATTGGAGCTCATTTGTGGTACTATTATTACTACTAGAAGTAGTATTATTTAGAGTATTGATTGTCGCGGATGCAGCGAGGCGACTTACTACTAGGAATGACTCGTTGACCCAGCCGCCGCGCAGGACCTGACCAGCGAATAACACGTCTGATTCGGAATCACGAAAAGGAAATGACCAGGGAGAGAAGGCGATGACGAGAACGGCGCCGAGTACAGCTTGTATGCAAACGAGCGTCGCGATCACTTGCAGCGGCTTCGTCCGTGGAACGACGGTTTGTTGCTTAGTAACAAACAACAACCTGTTGAACGTCATTAGAAACAAGCCCCGGCGCCCCCGGCCGCACGCCGGGTGTGGCATTTGGCGTCCCCGGCCGTACGCAAGGTATTGGCAGGCCAAAACGTGTAGACACTCGCGTAAACGCTAGCGAAGTTCGGTGGGGAAATCTCGGAAGTGCGGCGAGGTGATTCTTTTCCTACAGAAGTGGGAAAATCTAGAGATACAGAGGGTTCCATGGTTTGCAATCAGGGGCACCTCTTTTTGACTGAGGGGCCTGTCCTGATCTGGGAGAGGGTTCCATGGTTTGCAATCAGCAGAAACACTAGGCAGCAGCAGCACTGACAAAACTCGTGCCAGCGCCCAGAGTAATCCCTTCAGAATTCTTGGCCTGGATCGCACGACACGAGCCCCCCAATTTGTCGTCCCATTTCAACGCACACCGCACCGTACGCTCGCTCAAGGAGTGCCACAGAACTTGTATGTACATCTGACAGCGGTTGACTGGCAAGTTGCCAGTGGCAATGAACGAACACTTGAACCTCACCGCACCGCACCCACGATGGTGCCCAGACACGCGCTACCGTCGTCTCCCTACGGTCAAATGAGGTGATTCACGATATGCAACGGTCAAATTTGGACGAAATATGGTTGGGGGGTGGGATGTTCAACCAATGGTCCAAGTTTGTGTACAGTAATGGTTGAAACAGACCGGAAAAATCAAAGGGACGGTTGCTCAAGCACCGCTGGTGAGTTGAGCAAGTGGGTGCGCTGTACAGTAATACTGTACAAGAGTTGACATTTGTGGGCATCCTTCACAGCTGTCAACCCAGGAGTGTACACCTGATTTCCTTTAGAGTTTCTTCACTTTAACTCAACGAGGTTGAAGTATATTGACTCCCAAAGTGAGCACGTGCGAACCCCCTTCTGGAAGGCTGCCAGAATACGTCATGGGGGACCTTACCTATTGGAAGTAACAAAGCTAACTAATTGGACCACTTCAAGATCATCTACCATCTTGAACTCTCTCATACGCGCTGTCTGTACTAGCAATGGTTGAATGTCACGAACAATGACCCACACCCTTTTCAGGCTGCGAAATAGTTATTTGTGGCAAAGTTATCCCATGCAAAACACTAAACGCTTCAAAAAAAAAATCGCAGGACTGTAGTAGCATGGTAACGGTAATACTGCGTTCGGGCCCAACGCACGAGCGGGGTGTGGTTTACTGCTCCATATGAACAGTACTTTGCAATTATCCTTACATAATATTCTCATATTTCCTAGTGTGGTGTGGCACTACATGGCTCGCTTCGTCCTCCGCGCTCCCGAGCTCGCCACGATAGAATGAGGTTGCTTAGCAGGGCTCTCCCTAGGATCTGAGGACGGCCTGATTCATCAAGAGCCATGATACCCACGCCCCCCCCCCCCCCCCCCCACCCCCCCACCCTCTCCCTCTCCTCCCGGGCATTATCTTATTTTTGCCTGATCGCGACTGGAAAATCATAATGATTCCAAAAAGACCTGTCTGGTTATCAGACAATTAGGACAAAGATTCCAGCTAGCGAGAGGCCTGTTGCTTAGTGCTGCACGGGCTTGATCATGGCCCGTACCTCCATGGTTCATGCCTGTGCGCCCCATTCCATGTGGCCCTCTTTTGGTTTGCTACGCCGTGCATCAGCTGAACATGTGGTTTCTACTCGCATCTGTGGCGTAACATTCTGTGTACAGGAGGAAAAAGTCATGTTATATGGCACTAGATACTACACCTTAATTTTCACCATATCCAGCCAACTTGTACAGCACTAAGGCCTTTCCAGATACCAGTGCATTACGAAGAAGACACAGCGAAGCGCATGCAAGCGAGCAGATTAACAACGACAATGACCAGCACAGGCAGCAATATGCGGAGCACCATGCCATATAAAGCAGTTCCTTGCACTGCGCTCTCCACCACCCACCACCAGAACCCCTCTGCACTCACCAGCTCCCACACCTCCCCCAAACCTGCCCCCATCCCCACAGAGACAGACCCCTCAACAGGATACCTGCTGTGAGCACCAGACATAACTGCAGCAACTGAGGCAGCGACAGCAGCTGCTGCCGCCACTGCAAGCGCAATGGCAAGAGACTGACCGGAAGACCGCTTTTGATTAGCAGCAGCAGCAGCGGCAGGTGTGTGTGTGCATGTGCGTGTGTTTCCCATGAGCTGACTGTGGGGAACGCAGTTTGGTGGGCTAGGGAGAGTGCTAGGACGCGTGGAGATAAGGCTGCAGAGGAGGAAGAGTAGTGCAGCAGAGAGAGAAGCCACTGCGAAGTTGCTACAGCTTGCAGAGACTATAGTCACCCCCACGATACCTAGGCTGAGTGCTCTAATCATCAACCAGAAAGCAGATGGGGTTGTGGACTGCGGGGTGGAAGGTGGGAGGGAGGACGATGGCGGGGGAGGAGAGGAGGAGGAGGAGGAGGGGTTGGCAGCGGTGGGAGGTGGTACAGGGTGATGCTGGGCGGAATATGCTGTTATGAGATGGGGTGATGGGGAGGAGATGAGGGAGCAGAGGGTTTTAGCGACAGAGGGACAAATGATGGTCCACCAGAGGAGAATGGCAGCAGCAAGGGAGGAGAGAGAGGTGATGACCCAGAGCAGCAGGCAGTGGGATGGGCACGTGGGGAGGAGAAACGCGGGGAGGAGGAATGAGGGGAGCGGGAGGAGTGAGGGGAATGAAGCGAGGAGAGAGGGGGGCAGCATGGGGAGGAGTGACGAGAGGAGTTGAGCGAAAGCGAGGGGATTCGGGGAGGAGAGGAGGTCCGAGAGGTGCTGCAAGTGCGGGGGAATGGCAGACACAAGGGCAGCCCAAAGGAAGAGCAGGCACACGAGTGCTGCTGCCTGCACGCCTGCTGCTGTGTTGGCTGCTTGCTGCGGGGAGAGATGCACTGGGCACGTGCGGGGCGGAGAGGAGGGAGAGGAGGGAGAGGTGGGGTTCGGAGGAGTAAGGCACGGGCAGGGGGGAGGCGGGAGGGCGGGATTCTTTGGAAGAGTGAGAGTGGAGGGAGGAGGAGGCTGCGCAGGAGTCGATGTGCGGGGAGTGGGAGTGATAGAGGAGGAGGAGGAGCGGGAGGAGGAGGAGGAGGAGCGGGAGGAGGAGGAGGAGGAGGAGGAAGTTGAAGAAGGTGCGGCAGTGGTGGTGGCTGGGGGCGGTAAGGGGAAGCAGATGGAGACGAGGTGCAGGAGGAAGGGGAGGAGGAGGAGGGCGATGAGGATGATGAATTTGCTGATGGGAACAAAGCGCGTGGGCGAGAGCAAGAGGTAGTAGTAATGCGAGTGGTGCAGGCGCTCCGATAGGTTGTTAAAGCACCGAATGACTGACTCAAGCAGCATTCCTAGGCGCACGTATGACTGCACGTCTGCCTGTACGTTCACCCTCAGCCCAGACCCCTTCCCCTTCCCCTTCCCCTCCCCTTTCTCCTCCCCTTTCCCTTTTCCCTTCCCCTTCCTCTCCCCCTTCCCCTTCCCCGCCCTCCCCGCTCCCACGCCCCCCGTCCCTCCTCCTGCCGTCCCCCACCCGCCCGCGCTCCCCCCAAGGTACCCCTGGGGCAGAACAGTGAGCGAGACAGCATCTACTTGCACCTCTCTGAACGCCCCGTGTGTGCCTGACGCCCACCCAGCCAGCTGGTTCCATAGCACACGAGCGAGTCCCCTCGCTCCCTCCTCAAACTCACGCCCGCCGGTAACCACGCCCTTTACACCCATGCTTTCCAGCCATGCGCCCACAGTGGCTAGGGTTTCAGCAGTGCGGGAGACGGCCGTTGAGAGGAGGTCTAGGGTTGAGGAAGGGAGGAGGTGGAGGAGAGGGGGAGGGAGGTCTGGGGGAGGCTGGATGGAGAGTTTGAGGGAGAGCCATGAGGTGATTCTTTGGATCGTGGCGGGCAGGTCGAGGTTTGGCATCTGCCCGTTGATTCCGTCTGCCCGGATTTCGAGGGAATCGACGGGGCCTCCGAGCCAATCAGGGCTGGCTTGGAGCGTCACAGCTGCGATCATCATGCTGTGTGGGGCGAAGGGAGAAAGTGAGGAGGAGGAGGAGGAGGAGGAGGACGAGGATTGCGACGCTTGGAGCGATTGCCCACTAGCTCTCCTCCCACTCAGACCACTCCCATAGCCACTGCCGCCACTGCCGCTACAGCCCCTACTGCCACTACCGCCGTCACTGCTGTTGCTGCGGCTGGCAGTGCAGGTATGGGAGGTGATGGGAATAGGATCGATCCCACGATACTCCTTGAGCCACTGCTGCACGGCATGCTGGGCGCCGTAGCGGGCGTCTGCAAGCAGCCAAACCACGTCCTTGGCTTGCCACTGCGCCTGGGAGAGGAGGCGCAGGAGAGAGAGAGTCGCTGCCACTGAGAGGGCGTCGGATGGGGATATGCAGGGCGAGGCACCCTCACCGCTGCTGCTGCTGCCGCCGCTGCTGCCGCCGCTGCTGCTGCTGCTGCTGCCGCCGCTGCTGCCGCCGCTGCTGCCGCCGCTGCTGCCGCCGCTGCTGCTGCTGCTGCTGCCGCCGCTGCTGCCGCCGCTGCTGCCGCCGCTGCTGCCGCCGCTGCTGCCGCCGCTGCTGCCGCCGCTGCTGCTGCTGCTGCTGCTGCGGGTGGTGGTGTGTGTGGAGGGGCGCAGGCGAGTGAAGGGCGTGACGAGCACAAAGGCCTCGTCGCTGTAGCCCTGGCGGGACTTGAGCACCGTTGCCATGCTCTCTGCGCTCTCTGCTGCTTGCCCCTGCTCCACAGTGCCGCCCACGCCGTCACCACCATCCCCATTGGCACCACCACCACCACCACCACCACCACTACCACCACCACTACCACCATTGCTACCACCATTGCTACCACCATTGCTACCACCATCGCTACCGCCATCACCACCATCAGTATCAGAGGAGTAGGTGGGGAGAAGGGCGCGTGTGAGGCGAGAGGAGGAAGGGGACCAGACGTGTGGGTAGAGAGGTAACTGCAAGGCTCGCAGATGGTGCGCAATCCACTCGTCGAACGAACCCCTGAGGGGCGAGGGAGCGATGGAGAGAGGCGGAAAAACGCAAGAGAGATGGAGAAGCAGATGGAGGAAGAAAGCAGGTGGGAGAATTGGATTTGAAGGAGAAAGAGGTGAGGGGGTTAGTAAAGGCGCGAGGAAGGGGAGAGGATTCAAGCGGTGCGGAAAGGGGCAGAAGGGGCGCAGCACATCTGCCTACAGAATGGGCAGAAGGCAAGGCGCACACCTGCTCTTTCCCCGAGAGATGGCGCGGTGAGAGAAAAGTGCTTACAGATGCACGCAGCGGTACAGATACAGGAGTGCGGTGGCGTGTGGTAGGGTTGAGCAAGTTTGGTGACTAGTGCAGTGGAGACGGTCACGTGAACACATAGGTACAGTGGCAGCGATTGCAGCCATGGGTGTCACAGGGATTGCAGGGTGACCCACAGGTTACCTGTGGGTGTTTATGAGACGTCTCAATAACTCCCTTGTATCGCACCACGGGTTACCTGTGGGTGTGCAGCGATTGCAGCAGCGCGATGGCGTAGCGGGCATCGGATTCGGAATACCGAGGAGATGCTGAGCCTGGGAGGAGGGAGAGAGAGAGGGAGAGAGAGGGAGAGAGAGGGTAGGGGAGGAGGGAGAGGACTGGGTGAGAGTGTGGGAGTGGGAAGGTGGGGGAATGAGGGAGTGGATGAGAGGAGGGCAGAGAAGAAGCAGTTGCAGCGGGATGACAATGGCGATGGATCACAGCGACAATTATGATGGTCATGACTTGTGTGAATGATATTGAGAATGCTGACGTGTAAAGAGGGCGTGACGTGGCAAGCGCACACCTGGCATGAGCGCGTTCTCGTCCACGAAGGTTTGACCTTTGAGAATTCCCAAAAGTCAAACCAACCTTTTGAGGATTCTCAAGAGTCAAGGGCGCACCTGGCATGAGCGCGTTCTCGTCCACGTAGGTGGGTGCGCTGAGGGCGGGGAGCAGCAGCAGCAGCACGAGACCCGCTGCCACGCTCACGGCGCTGCAGGGATACATGGGAGAGAGGGAGGCGGAGGGGTGGAGAGAGTTGAGGCGTCTCAGAACAGCAGCAGCAGCACGAGACCCGCTGCCACGCTCACGGCGCTGTGTGAATGCACGGGAGAGAGCGACGCAGAGGGAGGCAGACGGGTGGAGAGGGAGGCAGAGGGGTGGAGAGAGTGGAGGAGAGAGAGAAAGAGTTTCTAGACGTCCCAAAATAGCAGCAGCAACAGAACAAGACCCGCTGTCACGCTAGGGATGAGCCCGCACGGGCGGTGATGCCCGCATGGGCGAGAGAGAGGCCGAGGGAGAGAATGAGTGCACAAGATAATGCCGGGCAGCCAGACCGTACCAGATAATGCCCGAGCGACGGAGCGCGGCCGCCACGAGCCGGCCCAGCACCAGCCTGATCCGCTCGCGCGCCGTCGCCATTGCCACTCTCGCGTCGCCGACGCTGTCGCCGGCGCCGTCGCGCGAGATCCCTCCCGACGCGGCGCCTTTTTCTTCGCGGGAGTATCACAATTCCGGGAATGCCACGGACTCTAATCGCTCAAAACCGCGGCCTCCGGTCAGAGATCCCAGCCGGCTTTCAGAATCAGTATCAGCACTCTCAAAAATATCAGTACTCTTGACAATATCAGTATAGCCCGGCGCAGTCGTGCTGAATCTAGAGGCTTCCGTTCCGTGCCCGCGAAACAACTGTGCGGCTGCAGAGGATGCCTACGCGATCAGCACGGATAAATTTTCATTAGCGGTCAGTTTGTGGCGTGACATTCCTGGGGATCTCCAACGATCCAAGCACATCTCGATATACGCGTTAATAGTTCAGACCCGCAGCAGCGTATTGCGCGAAAAGGAAAGATGAGGGTGCAGAGTGTACTGTACCTCCTATATTTTCCCCACGCGCAATGTTTCAAATTTGTGTGTCAGAAAAATGAGTAACGTAGGCCAATTGCTGCTTAGCATCTAAAAAGCTGGACAACAGCAGGCACACAAGACAGCAGCTGGTATGGCTCTAACGGCAACCTGACGGTCACGTAACGGCTAGGTAACGGCGCCACGGCGCACGCGAGTCGAGATGAGCGCTGCTAACGGCAACGCGTCTCTGCTCTGCTGCCTCCTCCGCGGCTCGCGCCCAGCGCGACTCCCCTTCCGCCTCCCCTCCCGCACCTGCGATCCTTTCTTTCGCGCTCTGCCTGCTCGCGTCTCTCCGCGTACCGCGACCGCCGCTGCCGCCGCCACCGCCTCCACTGCCGGCGCCGGCGCCGCCTCATCATGTGCGATCCTTGCGGCAAATCGGATCTCCGCGCCGCGATCGGCCACTGCCACGTGCATCCGCGCGGCGCCGCTTTACCGCGGGCCGTGCCACGTGTGCAGCTGGAAGCAGCCGCTCGCGCGCCGCGGGCTTCTCGACACGCGCCGCGACAGCTGCGCGTCGGGACGGCATATTTCCCTCGTTTCCCTCCACTCCCCCTCGCGCCCCTCTGGTCGTTCGACCTTTAGCGCGAGTGGTGGGGTCAAGGCGAGCAGCAGCAACTGTAGCAGGGGAAGCCTTGGTGATAGCAGGACTGGTGGAGGGAGTGGGTGTGGTGGTGGTGGTATTGGTGGTATTGGTTTTCTGAGTGGGGGTGGACTTGCCTCTTGCAACGCTGCGCGGAGTGGTGGTGAGAGATGGGTGGACGGGGGAGGCGAAGCATGGGGAAGAAGGAGAGGGAACGGGAGAAGCTTCAGCGGCAGTGGCGGAGGCAGCAGCTGGCTGGGCGATGGGGGAGGAGGAGGGTCAGTGATAGGCGCAAGATGGGAGGAGGAGAGTGCAGAGGAGGAGGGAGAGGAAGAGGAGGATGAGGAGGAGGTGGGTGGGAAGGGGAGGAGAGGCAAGGGTGGGAGGAGGGGGACGAGGCAGAGGGGGGCGAAGAAGCAGGAGCAGATGGCAGTAGCAGAGGCGTACAGGCGACACTATGTGGCTGCTGTCACTGCGGAGAAGGTGTGACAGTAACGAGAATGCTGACTCTATGCTAAGATGACTCTATGCTCACTGCTGTTGACACAACCCACACATCTCCCACTGTTGAGAATACTCCAAGCGAACATCGCCCACTCTATTGAAATCACTTTTGAGAATTCTCAGTAGTGATGTCAATATAACCCACACATCTCCCACTGTTGAGAATACTCCAAGAGCACATCGCCCACTCTCTGACTCTCCTCCCTCCCCCCACTCTCCTCCCTCCCACCTCTCCCCTCCTCCCCGTCGTCTGTGCGTGCAACAGGAGGACGAGCTAGCGGCATGGCAGCAGCGCATGGGCGGGTGGTCGCGGCAGCGCCTTTTGAGGCGCCTCAAAAGTCCCCTCCCTCCCACCCCTTCCCTCGTCCCCTTGGTCTGTGCGGGGGGCAGGAGGACGAGCTAGCAGCATGGCAGCAGCGCATGGGCGGGTGGTCGCGGCATCGCCTGGCAGAGGAGGGCTTTGCGCTCTTCAACCTCTCTGCCGTTCCCAAGGGCCGATTCTTCAAGTGCGCCTCTCCTGCCCTCCTGCTGAATCTGCTTGTTGCGAATTTTTTTTGAAGCAGATTCAGTTGTGCGCTCTTCAACCTCTCCGCCTTGCCCAATTGCCGCTTCTTCAAGTCCGCTTCTTGTGCCCTCCCTGCACTTCTGTTCCCGAACATATAATCCGCGTGAAATGAGTCGTGTTTTGAGTCGACTCAAAACACACGCTTTACGCTCTTCAACCTTTCCGCCTCGCCCAAGGGCTGATTCTTCAAGTGCGCCTCTACTGGCCTCCTGCTCCCACGCGTGCTCCGTCCTACCAACCAACCAACCAACCAACCAACCAACCAACCAACCAACCAACCAACCAACCAACCTTCCGTGTGCAGGAAGCGCATAGTGCAGTTCACATTGGCTCCACCACACGCAAGGCAGGGTGCCGGGAGGAGTGGCGCAAGCAGGGGAGCAGCAGGCGGTTCAGGCAGTGGTGGTGGTGGCGGTGGTGCCAGTGGTGCGGGTAGTGGGTTGCTGCCGCAACATCACTTGCTCTCCCAGGTGAACACAACACACTCACACACACACACACACGTCCTTGCGATCAAATTTGTCATGGCCCAATGCCCGTGCATACCATCATCCTCCTCCGCTTTCCATGTCGTTCCTACCAATACTATTCTCTGTTTGCTGCCCATGCACGCATCACTCACTTCGTCTCACGCACTCAATCTTGTAAACTACTGCTTCCTTGCCATGCCATGCCATGCCTTGCCATGCCATGCGTTCCCTTCCCATGCCGTGCAATGCGGTGCCATGCCATGCCATGCCATGCCATGCCATGTGCTACACCCCATGTGCGCGTGCATGCATGCATGCATGCTTGCTTGCTTGGGGCAGGGAGACCTGGTGCTGGTGAACCCCAGCAGCGTTGACTCCATTGACCTGGAAGACTCGCTGGAAGGAGTCGTGCTGGAGAGAGCTCGCAGGTACGCGTGCTGCCTCTTGCTACACTCCATATGCCCAGACATGCATGCATGTGTGGGTAGGGAGACTTGTGTTGGTGAACCCCAGCAGCGTTGACTCCATTGACTTAGAGGACTCGCTGGAAGGAGTGGTGCTGGAGAGGGCTCGCAGGTATGCATGCTGCCTGCCTGCCTGCCTGCCTGCCTGTCTGTCTGTCTGTCTGTCTGCTTGCGTGCCTATTGCTCACCTCAATCCTCGTCGCCTGGACTGGACTGCACCTCACTCTCCCAGACTCATCCTGCAGCGCTCTGTGCTACATAGGTTCGCACATCACCCACACCGTGCCACACTGCACCCTCACCTCACCTCACCTCACCTCACCTCACCTCACCTCACCTCACCTCACCCAGCCGCAACCTCTTCTCCTCCCCTCCCCCTCCCCACCACCTCCCCTGCAGGTACCTGCTGGTGGTGATGGCTCCTCAAGGCGTTGCCACGCTCTCTCAAATAGAGACTCTCATACAGTCTACCTCTGCCTTCCCCACACTGTTCCTTCCCCCGAACCACCTCCCCTGCAGGTATCTGCTGGTGGTGATGGCTCCTCAAGACGTCGCCACGCTCTCTCAAATGGACCAGCCCCTTCGCCTAGACCTGACCCTCAACACCGTTGCCTTTGACCGAGCTATTGACGCGGTTACCACCTTCTCCTCCCTCTCTTCCTCGGTTCTGAGTTCCCCTGCTGCTGCTGAGGAACGGGAGCGAGGGGTGGGGGGGAAGGGGAGGGGGAGCGGGGGGGAGAAGGGGAGGGGGAAAGATGGGGCGAAGGCGGGGGAGAAGGCACGGGGAGGAGGGGATGAGGGCGCGGTGGTTGGTGAAGGGGCGATGGCGGTTTGGCGAGTGCTGATTGGGTCTGCTATGCGTGCAGGAGGGGAAGGGGGAGCGGCGCAAAATGAAGGTGAGAGGACGGGAGTGGTGGGTGGTAGAGCGCGGAGAGGAGGTGATGGTGGTGTTGCGAGAGGGGATGACACACCTGCTTCAAAAGCTGTTGCTGCAGCAGCAGCGGCAGCAGCAGCGGCGGCAGCAGCAGCGGCAGCAGCAGCAGCTGCAAAAGCAAGAGGTGGAGGAAGAAGGGCAGCGTCGCCTTCTTCTGACTGGCAGTCAGCATTGGGACTAACAACAGCAACAGCAGCAGCAGGAGCAGGAGTAGCAACACAAGACCCAGAGGCCCTTGCGTATGCGAAACGACTGCCCACAGGGTTCCTCCCTCTTCTTTCCAGCAAGAAGAGCCGCTCAGGGACAGAGTCAGCAGCGGCAGCAGCAGGGGCGGCAGGAGAGTTGAGAGGGCGCGTGCGATCGGTTCTGCGAGAGATTCAGGCAGAGAGGGCGAGAAAGGAAGAGGGCGAGGGAGGGCGAGAGGGGGGGCGAAAGGGGGAGCGAGAAAGAGAGGGAAAGGGAGAGGGAGAGCGAGTGGGGAAAAGGGCGCGGCTGAACGCGAGTCAAACGGCGGCGATAGAGGCGGCGATGGGGGGAGGGTGACGCTGTGGCAGGGGCCTCCTGGGACGGGTAAAACCGCCACTCTGCTGCACCTCATGGCCCTTGCTAGACGCGTGCTGGGGGGAGGAGAGGAGGGAGAGAGTGGAGGGAAGGGAGAGGGTGGTGAGGGTGGAGGTGGACAGGGGAGGGGTGCGGAGAGAGGGGGTGGTGGTGGTGGGCGGAAGGGGGGGTTGGGAGTGGGGCGTGGAGGGAGGAAAGGAGGGGAGAGGGGTGGAGCGGGAGGAGGAGCGGGAGGGAGGATTGTGGGGAAGGTTTTGGCTGCGGCGGATAGGTGAGATGAAATGGGTGAGATGGGGATGGGGGAAGAGTGGTGAGTGAGTAGGGGAAATATATCCACACGTTGCTGGTTTGCTGGATGGGGGAAGGGAGTTATTGCTGGTTTTTTCCGCCCCGCCAGTCCTTCCCTGTGCACGTGCCAAGCACACACACAGTGCCACGCGCTATTGCCCATGCTCCCCATTCTCCCCTCCTCTCCAGCCGTTGCGCTTCTGGCAGTCGCACTCGCAATCTGGCAGTTTTCCCCTTCAAACACCCCCCTCCCTCCCCCCTCCCCTTGATCCTTCCCCCCCTCCAGCAACATGGCGGTGGATAACATGGTGGAGGGGTTGCTGGGCATGGGCGTGCGCGGTCTTTCCCCCCTTCAACACAACCCGTCCCTCCTTGAACCTTCTTCCGTTCCCCCCGGGGTTTCCTCCCCTCCCCCCACCAGCAACGTGGCGGTGGATAACATGGTGGTGGGGTTGCTGGGGATGGGCTTGCTGGCAGGTGGTCCGCAAGGCAAGCACACCCAACCTCCCTCCTTGATCCTTCTTCCACTCTCCGGCCCCCCTCCCACCCGGTTTTCCCCCTTGATACTCCCCCCCACCAGCAACGTGGCGGTGGATAACATGGTGGAGGGGTTGCTGGGCATGGGCTTGCGCGTGGTGCGCCTGGGCCAGCCAGTCAAGGTCAGTCAGTCATTGCCGTGGTCATGGTCAGTCAACGCTGTGGTCACGGTCAGTCAACGCTGTGGTCACGGTCAGTCAACGCTGTGGTCACGGTCAGTCAACGCTGTGGTCACGGTCAGTCAACGCTGTGGTCACGGTCAGTCAACGCTGTGGTCACGGTCAGTCAACGCTGTGGTCACGGTCAGTCAACGCTGTGGTCATGGTTAGTCAACGCTGGTCATGCACCATGTCCCATGCCCCTTGCACCATGCACCGTACATCACACCACACACCAAGAACCGAAACGAGCACCATGCCCACGTTCCCCCTTGCACAGGCCAAGAAGTCTGCAACAGTGCACTGCACGTCAGACGCTCTGGTGAAAGCGCACCCTCTCAGTGAGTGGCTGTCACACACCACACGGCATACCCCATACACAATGCGCCATGCACCACATACCAAACGAAGCACCATGCCCATCGTCCCCCATCCACAGGCAAAGGAGTCTCTGCGGCAGTGCACGCTAGACGCGTTAATGGAAGCCCACCCTCTCACCTGCGGCAGCAGGCCATGGCAGGATATGTGTTCTTCATATCCCATGCATCAAACCCTTTTCCACCCCCATCCACAGGCAAAAGAGCCTTTGCGGCAGCGCACTCTATTTGCACTGGTGGAAGCCCACCCTCTCACGCAGCAAGCAGTGCAGCTGAGACAGCAGGCCATGGCAGCGCGGTAGCATACCCCACCGTACGCATCAAACAGTAAATGTTGTATCCGACTCCCTGATCCGCCCGCACACACAGGCAAAGGAGTCTCTGCGGCAATGCACGCTAGATGCGCTTGTAGAAGCCCACCCTCTCACGCAGCGAGCTGTGCAGCTGAGGCAGCAGGCCATGGCAGCGCGGGAGCACACCCCACCTATCAATCCCTCTTCCATCCCCATCCACAGGCCAAGGAATCCCTCCGGCAGTGCACTCTATTTGCACTGGTGGAAGCCCACCCTCTCACGCAGCGAGCAGTGCAGCTGAGACAGCAGGCCATGGCAGCGCGGGAGCATACCCCACCGCACGCATCAAATATTCTGCATGGCAGATGTTGCATCCGACTCCCTGTTCCTCCCACACACACAGGCAAAGGAGTCCCTGCGACAATGCACGCTAGACGCGCTGGTAGAAGCGCACCCTCTCACGCAGCGAGCGGTGCAGCTGAGACAGCAGGCCATGGCAGCACGGGATCATACCCACTGCATCAAACCCATCTTCCCACCCACACGCACAGGCCAAGGAGTCTCTCCGCCAGTGCACGCTAGATGCTCTGGTGGAGGCCCACCCTCTCACACAGCGAGCGGTGCAGCTGAGGCAGCAGGCCATGGCAACGCGGGAGCAGGGCCGGGCGGAGAGGAATGAGGGCAGGCGCAGGAAAGCTGCGGGGGAGGCCACTCGCGTGTGGGAGGCGGCCGATGCGGCTCAGGACGCCGCTGCTCTTGACGTCATGGAGAGGTGGGTGGGTGGGGGATTGGGTGGGGTCGGGTGGGGGGAGTGCGTTGGAGAGAAGTGGGGCTAGTAGGGTAGTGTGGGGAAGGGAGGGTCAAGAGGACCGGAAAGCTGCACAGGAGGCCACTCGCGTGTGGGAGGCGGCAGACGCGGCTCAAGACGCCGCTGCTCTTGATGTCATGGAGAGGTGGGTGGGTGGGTGGGTGCAGTGTGGGTGAGTGTGGGTGGGTGTGGATGAGAGAAGGGGGAGAGGTGGGGCTAGGGGAGTGTGGGGAAGAGAGGGCGGAGAGGACAGGAGAGCTGCGGAGGAGGCCACACACTTCTGCTGCCTGTATTGTTCATATATGCATGTGCTGTTCCTGCCTGTGCATCTTCCACATCCCTACCTCGCATGCGTAGGGCGGATGTGAACACATCAACATGCGTGGTGGCAGCTTTTTAGGTGCCTCAGAATATGCATGTGCTATGATGTGACTGCCCTGCCCGTGTGTCCGCCACACCTCATCCGTCTCCCTCCCTACCTCTCCGTGTGTGCAGGGCGGATGTGATAGCTGCAACGTGCGTGGGGGCGGGAGACCCTGTTCTTAGCATTCTCCTGAGCCGCCACCCGTCGGCCTTTGCTCTCTGCATCATTGATGAAGCCACTCAGGTGAACATTCACTCACTCAGGTGAACATTCACTCACTCAGGTGAACATTCACTCACTCAGGTGAACATTCACTCACTCAGGTGAACATTCAATCACTCAGGTGAACATTCACTCACTCAGGTGAACATTCACTCACTCAGGTGAACATTCACTCACTCAGGTGAGCTCTGAGCTCGCTCTTGCTAAGGTTGAGAGCCCCTCTTTTTTCGCCTTCTAACCGTCTCATATCCCCCTCCTCATCCTCCTCTCCCTTTTCTCCTCCGTCCCACCTCCCAAGTCCACAGAGCCAGCGACGCTAATCCCCATCCTAGCCAGCAGGGCTAGCAGTGTGGTGCTTGTGGGCGATCCCATGCAGCTGCCGCCCACTGTTGTCTCCCAACGGGCAATGCAGGTAACGTCTTAGCCGAAAGGGACTCTGGCTAAAAGGGAGAGCAGTGTGGTGCTTGTGGGCGATCCCATGCAGCTGCCGCTCACCGTTGTTCCACAACGGGCCCTGCAGGTAATCGTTGAGTCAACTCAGAAGCTAGCTGCACCACACTGATCCTGGTTGGCAACTTGGCAAGGTGAGTAGGAGCAGTGTGGTGCGTGTGGGGGATCCCAGCCAGTTGCCTGTCGTTATTCACTGTGGTGTCTGTCACAGCGGGCCGTGGTGGGAAGGAGTAGAGCTGTGGTGGGTGCTGTGAAGGGCCCTGTGATATGTGGCAGGATGGGTAATTTGATGTGTACCAGTAGTCATCATTGCTCTTTATCGGTGACGTATCCCTCGTCTCGTCCATGCCTCCTCTTCCCACATGCCAGTAAGGGTAACGTATACCACAAAGTCACCTGTCCCCCAACACTGTTCTCATCTCTGTTCGCCCCTTTCCACCCCTACCATCCGCCTGCCCTCCTCAGCTAGGACTAGACGTCCCACTGTTCTCGCGCCTGCAGAGCCATGGCTTACAGCCGTTGCTGCTCGACACACAGTACCGGTACGCACGCGCTCACTTTCGAGTCGACTTTAGAATCACTCTTGAAGATTTCTACCCCGTTGGATTTCTCTCTTCTGTTTTCCTTTTCGTCCCTACCATACAAGCTCTTTCCTTTACCACCACTCTACTTTCCTCGCTGCTCTCCTCCGCCACCTTTTCTTCTCAACGTCGTTCACCTGTCTCTCCTTTCCCCTCTCCATTTCTCCCCACCACTCCTGTCAGCATGCACCCGTCCATAGCTGCCTTCCCCTCGGCTATATTCTACTCCCACCGCCTCATCTCCTTTTGAGTCGACTAATAAATTTGCTCCCTCATGTGTCTCTCCTCCCCCCTTCCATTTCTCCCCACCACGCCTGCCAGCATGCACCCATCCATAGCAGCCTTCCCCTCGGCCATCTTCTACTCCCACCGCCTCATCTCCTTCCCCACTCCGCAAGACCGACCCGCCCCTGCAGGGTGAGTGCGTCTCTCTTCCTCCTTCCTGTGATTCTTTCTTCTCCTGCGTTGCTCCTTTCTGCCAGCCCTTTCTGCTCTCGTCCCTCCCTGTGCGTCTCCATCCGTGGCCTTTTCAGACGAGGTTTCAGTGTGAAATCAAGCCACGAGATCTCAGCACTAGCCGTTTCTCCCGCTTCTTCTCCAACTTGCCTCCTCTGCTGCCTTCGCTGCCCCTTCAGGAACCTCCCATACAGTTCCCTCCCCTTCCTCCTCCCCTTCGCCCTCCATCCTGCGTCCCACCCAGCTTCTTCTGGCCCAACCCTGGTCACCCCATCCCAATCATCGACTGCAACGGCATTGCAACGCCAAGCGGCCTATTTCAGAGTCGACTTAAACATACCTCCCATACGTTCCCCTCCCCACCCCTTGCTCCTCCCCTTCCCCCTCCATCCCGCCACCCAGCTTCCCCTGGCCCAGCCCTGCCCACCCCATCGCATTCATAGACTGCAACGGCGTTGCAACACCAAGCAGCAAGCCCACCACCGCGGCGGCCACTCCATCATCCCCATACCCAAGCCCTGGCACACCGGCACCTGCACGTGAGCGACTGGAGGAGAGCCCTGGAGACTCCACATCGTGGATGAACGCTGCAGAGGCGGTGAAGGTGGGGCTGAGCAAAGCAGGTGATTCTGTGAGGCAGAAAAGTTACGGTTTGTGAAGAAACTCCTTTGTCATGGATGCATACTGCAGAGGTCGAGCAGGTGGGAGGGGTTGTGAGCAATGAGGACGCGTGGGGGGAGGATGGAAGGAGAGGGTGGGAAGAACTGCGGAAAGGGAACGGGTGAATGATGGAAGGAGGGGCCAGTGGATTCGTTTCAACCTTCATTTCCCGCCGATGTATGTGTCTTTGTGTGCATTGATTATTGACTGCGCCTCTCAGGTGGTTGTGCTGGTGAAGAGTCTGCTCTCTGCTGGCGGCATGGCCAAGGGGTGTGACGACATCGGCATTATCACACCATACAGAGCACAGGTCTGTCTGTGTGTGCACTTGGCCACTTCTCTCCGTGCTTGCACTTGTGCACGGTTTCTTGAAGGAATTAACGCGCGCAGCACAGCATATCCCCCCTCAGAAATATTTCCCTCAGCGTATCCTGCACTGCACAGCATATGCTCCCTCCCAGCCAGCTCTATAGCACGAGCCTCCAGTCCCATCCTTTCCCCCGTCCTTCCTTCCATCCTTGCATCCTTAATCCTATTCGTTCAGGTGAATCTGATTCGAGGCATGCTGCAGGGAGAAGCTCAGAGCTGGGGCGGGGGGGGCAGCAGGATGGTGGGGCGGGGTGGAGTGCGGTTGGCGAAGGTGGATTTGGAGGACGTGGAGGTGAAGACAGTGGACGGGTTTCAAGGCCGAGAGAAGGAGGTGAGGTGGGGGAGGGGGAAGTAAGGTGAGGAACACTCCTGCTCTTGGGAGGAGAACAACCTGTCCCGTTGCAATACTGAACAGAATCAGGCGGCTGTTATATGCGAAGTCCGCTCAACTGCAGAAGCCACTCAACCGTGAGGCCCACTCAAAAGCTGTGCATGCTGTTTCGTTTCTCTCACACATACACCCCTCTCCCTTTCCCCGCACCCCGCTCCCCTCTCCCCACTCCCCCTTCGGTCCCTCCCCCAGGTGATCATCGTCTCCACAGTGCGATCCAACCCCGAGGGGCGCATAGGATTTGCATGCTGAGTGATTTCTCTGACACGCACGCCCCACGCCTCCATCCATCCATCCGCCCCTCTCTCATGCCTCTCTCGTCCCTCCACCAGGTGATCATCGTCTCCACAGTGCGATCCAACCCCGAGGGGCGCATAGGCTTTGCATGCTGAGTGATTTCTCTGACACGCACGCCCCACGCCTCCATCCATCCATCCGCCCCTCTCTCATGCCTCTCTCGTCCCTCCACCAGGTGATCATCGTCTCCACAGTGCGATCCAACCCCGAGGGGCGCATAGGCTTTGTGGCAGACGCACGGCGCCTGAACGTGGCAATAACACGCGCGAGACGAGGCCTGCTGGTGGTCGGATGCCGGGCCACTCTCTCCTGCGACCCCCTCTGGTCACTCTGGCTTGCCCACCTGAACCACCTGCATGCTTCAACTGAGGAGAAGCGCTAGCGTCTCCCTCCTCATCAGCAGCCGGGCCACTCTCTCCTGGCTTGCCCACCTGCGCCACCTGCATGCTGCATCAGGGGAGAAGCGCTAGCTTTTGGTGCAGTCTAGCTAGTCAAGTGCACTTGCTGCACCCGCACGCCCGGAGAGGCCTGCTGGTGGTAGGCAGCCATAGCACTCTCTCCTGTGCCCCCCCTGGTCGCTCTGGCTTGCCCACCTGCACCACTCACGTGCTTCAACTGAGGAGAAGCGCTAGTTTCTGCTCAAAAGGACTCAAGGGACGTCTCAAAAGGAGCCTGCTGGTTGCCGGCAGCTGTGACACGCTCTCCTGCCGCCACTCATCTGGCTTGTACCCAGAGTTGCAAGCCAGGGTGGTTGTTGCCAGATTTTAGCCAGGTTTGTAGCCTGTAGGCCTCCTAGTTACCTAGAGCAATATCAGTAACACTCTAGCCACTTGTTCTTGTACCTCTGCAAGGGCCACAATGGGTCATTTCATTATTACGTTGCCAGACAGCCATACTTTGCCTGTTTCGCCCAACAAAACGTGGATTGGCAATATTTCTGGACGACACAGCCCAGACATGGGAAAGCATACTCCATCCAGCGTTTGGATCCCATCCCATGGTCCAGTGCAGACACCTGGGAAGAGCGTTGCATCGTTCACGGTGATCTCCACCTCTGCTACCTGTTCCACTTATCCAACCGCAGTGTATGCTGCTGGGAGTTGCAAGCCCGACAGGACGGAGCAACGGGGCGACGTGACCGTTCACTGTTGAGGCGCCTCAAAAGTAGACTCCGCTTATTTTACCGCAGTGCATGCTGCTGAGAGTTGCAGGCCCGAGGGGACAGAGCAACGGGACGAGGAGGCCGTCCACTGCAGGAAAGACGACGCCTTTCCCACCACTGCCCTCTTGCTCCCGATCTCCCCTGCTCTACCTGCCCCAACCCGTCTACCGCAGTGCATGCTGCTGGGAGTTGCAAGCCCGAGGGGACGGAGCAACAGGACGGGGCGGCCGTCCACTGCGGGAAGACGACACCCTTCCCACTCCCACCACCGCCCTCTTGTGCCCAACCTCCTCTTTACCCCCTCTCCCACTCCCCGCTGCTGCTGGCCCCGCTGCTGCTGCTGCGACCGCTGCTTCTTTCGCTGCCGGCATCGCTGCTTCATCTACAACAAACGGCAAAGCCACGGCCGACACACCATCCCTGACTTCTCCCATCCCTCCCTCTCTTGCCTCCAGCACCGGGCTTTCAAGTGCGCTCAAACACAAGCCTGGCAGATCAGGACTCAAACCAGAGCCTTCCAGGAGCACAGGGCTGCTGAGGCCACTCAGGAGCGAGCCAGACAGCTGAGAAGCAGTAGCCACAGGCGCTACAGGCGCCACAGGCACCAGAGGTGCCACAGGCGCAGCATCTGGAGCGGACAGGAGGAGCGGCGCCGTGCCTGCCTGTGCTGAAGTGCCATGGCCAGCATGCTGCGCAGCGGCAGTGGCAGTGTCAGCAGTGGCGGTGGCATCGGCGGTGGCAAACGAGTGAAGTTGGTCCAAACGAGTCGATGACTCAGGAGTCCCTGCATCGCCCGCCAGGGTCACAATTGCCTCGCCACATTGACCCCACGCTTCACCACTTGAGCCCCACGCCTCTTCGGGCCCCTCTGGACTGAGCTCTGCTTTTCCACCTTCCACCTGTATCCGCATCCGTACCTTCCTCTCATCCCCTGCTGCTCCTACTCCTTCTGCTGCTGCCATGCCTTCTGAAATCACAGGATCATGTGCTTCCCACCCTGCAGCTGCTGCCTGCTGTGCCACTGCCTCCTCTGTTTCTGAATCCACCAGTACCCACTCCCCACTGCCTGCAGACAACAAGCTCCCGTCTAGGCTAGCCAATCTGCTGGACACAGGGAAGAGAAGAGCGAAACAGAAATTGAATAGCAGGCACAAGAAATAATCCCCAAATCCCCTCCTCCCTCCACCATCCCCCTCCTACTCCTCCCCTCCCACTCCCACTCCCTTTCATCCACCTCCACTCTTTTGACCTTCCCACTCTCAAATTTACTCAAAGAGGTCTTCTATCTACTCTCCACCTTCCTCCATCCCCTTTCCGCCACCAGAAACACCACAATAGCACCAGGCGCGCACAATCCCCTTACTTCATGAGCCCCCTAACTCCTCATAACCTCACCTGTCCTCCTCTTGAAGCACATCCGCTAGTGTCACTTCCATAAGTCTGATTCCCGTCTGCTCTGCCTTTCGCCTCCTCCTCCACCTCCTCCCCCTCATCCCCCCCCTCCCCCCACTCCCCCTCGTGCACACTCCCAGCTTCCTCCCGCTGCTGCTTCCGCTCATGCCGCTCCTACTGCTGCCATTCCTGCAGCTGTCATTTGTGCAGCTGCCACTACCACCGCCGTTCCTAGCCCCATCCACGCCCCCACTTTCCTTGTTACAGCTTCTCTCACCCTCCCCACCCTCCTCTCCCACCATTTCCTCCTCATCCTTATCCCTCTCTTCTTCCTCTCCCTCCTTCCACTCCTCCCACTCCCCCCCTTCCTCCCACTCCTCCCTTTCCTCCCACTCCTCTCCCCCTCCTCCCTCCTCCTCACTACAATCCGTCTCCCACTCCTCTCCACTGCTGCTACTCCCCTCACCCACCCCCACTAGCTCTTCACCTCCCCACTCCCCATCCCCTCCCTCCAATCCCCAACCGAGCACTGACTCCCTCTCTCCTACACCTGCCACCACCACTACCTCCTCCCTCTCCTCGCCTTCCTCTCCACCTCCCGTCAACAACTCCGCCCCTCCATTGTCTCTCAATTGCTGCACACTCCCACCTTGCTGAACCCATCCCTTGTGCCCCAGCCCCTCCCCATGCACATGCCTCCCCATACACGCCTCTTCCGCCTCTCTCTCTCGCCACACCCAACCTACCACGTCTCCTATCAGCTCCTCCACCCCTCTCCTCACCTCCTCGTCACTGCATATGTGCTCCACAGCCACTCCTGCTCCTCCTCCTCCTGCTCCTCCTCCTGCTCCTCCGCCCTGCGCCGCTCTTTGAGCAAAATCGGCCTCAGTCTCAGCCCCTTCCTGCGCACCTCTCACCCAACTCCTCTCTCTCTCGCCTCCTTCGCCCACTACCACCCCAGCCTTCTGAGCCGCCTCCAATGCCGTCTTGTCCTCCTCCCCTCTACCCCTCCACACCACTTCAGGGGCTTCCCCTGATGCTACTCCGTTCTGCCCTTTCTGCCTGTGCTCCCCATCGCTGCTCTCCCCACCTGATCCAGTCTCCTCTTCTAAAGGAGCGGCTGTCTGTTTCACAGCAGTCAGACGGGAGGTAGCAGACTCCCATGCGTCATACTGTCTCCTACTGCTGCTGCTACTGCTGTTGCTGCAGGTACTGCCGCTGCCTCTGCTGCTTCCTCTGCTGCTGCTGCCAACCTGTGCTGCTTGTGAGTCGTCACTACATATCCCACCACTGCACGTGTCTTTGCTAGTGCTGCTTCTACTACCACTCCTGCTTCTGCTGCTTCTCATACGCTGCTCCCCCTCCTCACTCATCCCACCATCAGGTTCACCACCACTCATGCCACTGCCCATGTCCCCACCGCTACTGCCGTTGTTGCCGCTGCTGCCAGCTTGACCCACACTCCCACAACTCCCATCCCCACCACTCTCAACCGAACAGCACGCCCTGTTCCTCTCTTCGTCATCACGGGCAAAGGGAGCGCTGGCACTGCTGCTGCTGCTCACGCTGCTGCTGCTGCTGCTTTGCCTGTTGCTTCTGCTGCTGCCCCTTCCCTTGCTGCTTCCGCCGCTACTGCTGCCCATGCTTTTGACCGTATTGATGCCAATGCTGTTCCCTGCACTCGCACCTCCCCCCCCTCTCAAGGGCTGTTTCACCTGGTGCAGCTTCTCCTGCTGCTTCTCCTGCTGCTCTTCCTGCTTCATCTCCTGCTGCTGCTGTCGCTGCTCCTGTTGCTGCCCCTGTTTCTGCCCCTGTTGCTGCCCCTGTTGCTGCTCCTGCATCTGTTGCATCAACTGCACCACTGCACAACACCTCACATCCGCCCCCCTTCTCCTTGCACCACCCTTCTCACTCCCATCTCCTCCCCCAATAGCACCTCCCACTCTCATCCCTCCACCACGCACCCCCCTTCCTCCACCTCTCCCTCCCCCTCCCCACCCATCCCCACCGCTCTCCACCACCCGTCCCTTCACTAATCCCCCCAACCTAGCCCCCCTTCTGCCTGCACCATTCTCTCCCCAGAACACCACTCGCCGCACAGAACCCCTCTCCACTCCTCTGCCTGCTTCCCGCATCCCCACCCCTTGCCTACCACCACTCGTCCTCCCACCATCCACCCTCCCTCGACCGGCCCCATCCCCCTCTCTGCCTCCACTCAACTTCTCGCCCCTGTCTCCCTCTGCACCTCTCTCCACCGCATTCCGCTGCACCTGCTCTCCAGGTGCCCTATCTAACACCACTGCCCCACCTGCTGAAGCCTTTTGCTCCTTTTGCTCTTTTTTCTCCTTCTGCTCGTGAGGGAGGAGTCTTTTTGTGAGGGTAAGCTTCTCTTTTCCTGGCTCTGCTACAGCTGCTGCCTGTCCTGCCTGTGTTGCGGGTGTTGCCTGTGCTGCGTGCACTGCTATCCTTCGCCCTGCCTGCTTCTCTGCACGCTTGGCTCGCCTCTGTAGCAGGGAGACTAGCTCGCACACAGACATGCCTGACCGCTGCTGCTCCTGCTTCTTCTCCTGCTGCTGCTCCTGCTTCTTCTTCTGATGCTTCTGCTCTTTCTGCTCCTTCCACACGTGCTGGATGCTCATACTCCCACCACTACCAGCAGCAGCAGCACCAGTATAAGCACCGCCCACAGAAGCAGCAGCAGCAGCAGCAGCAGCACCAGTATAAGCACCGCCCACAGAAGCAGCAGCAGCAGCAGCAGCAGCAGCAGCACCAGTATAAGCACCGCCCACAGAAGCAGCAGCAGCAGCAGCAGCAGCAGCAGCAGCAGCAGCAGCCGCAGTCGCATCACCAGCACCAGCACCAGCGCCAGCAGCAGCAGCAGACGGGTTACTCCCAACTGCACCGGCCTGCAGCAGCAGCAGCAACTGTTGAGCTAGAGACGCAATTACACGATCCTTCCTACCCGCATCCCTCCACACCGCAGCCAGCCCCCTCCCTGCCACTCCAGCTGCCTGCACTATCGCTGCCTCCTTCCCTCTCAGCCTCTGCTCCAGTTCCCTCACCCTCCCTGACGAGCCTGCAGGCACCAAACCTGCGTGTGCCGAGCCTGTGTGTGCCGAGCCTGCGTGTGCCAAGCCTGTGTGTGCCTGCTCCTGCAGATGCTGCTTCTGCGCCGGCTTCTGTGCCTGCTGTTTCCGCCCTTGCGTCTGCCCCTGTTTCTCAGCCTGAATCTGTTTTTCCTGATGAGAAATCGCATATGCTTGTTGTCTCTGCCTCAGCATCCCCCCCGGCACCCTTCCCCCAGTTCTCCCCTGCGTTGCTCCCCTCCTCTCCCCACAATCTTCCCCTTCCCCCCCTACCCCAATCCCACCCCCTCTCACCTCTCTCACCCCTTTCACCTCCAACATCTCTCCCTCTTCTTCTCCCCGCACCTCCCCTCCCTTCCTCCCCTCCCAAACCAACTCCTGAACCGGCTCAAACCCCTCTCTACCGAACCGCACCTCCCGTTCCTCCAGTTCCCTCTCCATCATCCTCACCATCTCCCTCTGCCTCTCCACTTCCTTCATCAACCTCTCCTTCTCTGCCTCTCCAGCTTTTATCCTCTTCTCCCTCTCCCCTATCTCTCGCTCCAACCTGCCCTCAATCGCCCACGTACCTCTCCCACCCGCCCTTCCTCCACTCCCTTCAGGCATGTTCAAGTTTTTTACTCTCTCCAACTCAGTAGAACTTGCTTCTTCTCCCTCATCTTCCTCTCTCACAGCTCCCACCACACCAATCCCTGAACCCACACTCCCCTCCGCCCTATCCTCCCTCCGGCCCTCCTCACAGCACATCCCAGCAGCCTCTCCACCTTCACCCATCCCAGTCGCCAAACTCACTTCTACCAATTCCTCCTCCACCCCATTCCACCTCTCCACCCCGCCCTTCCTCTCCTCCTCCTCTCCCCGCCTCTCCCTCTCCTCCCACGCCTCTCCATCGCCCCTGAAAACCCCACGCTCCTGGTCCACTCTCCATCCCTCGCCTTTCTTCAAGTGTCCCTGCGAGTCCTCTCTCTCATCCACCCCCCAGAAACCCCCAAACACCCCACTGGCACCATCACTCCCCACACTCCCAACCCTCTCACTCCCCTCAACACCAACAAACCCAACACCGCACCCACTATCCCCACTACTGCCCCTCTCCTCATCCCCAGTTCCGCTCCTCCCCATACCTCCCCTCCTCTCCTTTCCTCCTCTCCTCCCCACTCCTCGCTCTTCCAACCGCCTCAGCCTCTCTTGCAACTCCCTTACAGCACTCCTCTGTCTTGCCTCCAACTCCTCTCTCTCCGCCGCTGCTTCTCTAGCCACGCGGCTCAACTCCTGCTCATAAGTCGACGCTGCTAGATCCACCAGCCGCCTCTGCACCCCCAACTCGCCTCTTAATCTCTCTATAGTCTCTGATCGCGCCTCCAGCTCCACTCCTAGCGCCTCCCGGTCTTTAACTAGCGAGGCTACTATTTTCCGGCTGCTGCTGCTGAGGCTGCTGGTGCTGCTGTGGGTGCTGCCTATGCTGGCTGGATTAGGAGGGGAGGCGGCAGTGGTGGCAGTGGCAGCGGTGGTGTTGGTCGTGGTGCCAGTGGTGGGGGAAGCGGTGGAGATGGTGGTGTGAGCGGTGACAAAGGTGGTGGATGAGGGAGAGGGCGGGGGGGTTGTGATGGAGTTGGTGATTGGGGTTGGGGAGGGAAGAGTGAGAAAAGATGAATCTAGATTTGGCAAGAGAGGAGAAGCAGCAGCAGCACCACCGGCACCACTCTCCTCACAAGAGTTTCTCACAACCTCAGCTTCACCAGCAGCTTTATCAGCAGCTTTATCAGCAGCATTACCAGCAGCATTACCAGCAACAGCTGTAGCAGCAGCAGCAGCAGCAGCAACAACAGGGGCCGAAGCAGTGCGGAGTGCAAGGGCAGGAGAATTAGGCAAGCAGCATTTCCTCTGCTGCGTCACCTCTCTCACCCGTGCAATGAACTCATGATACCTCTCCTCATGGTACCTCTTATTCTCCCCTCCCTGCTTTTCCTGTTCTGAGCCCGCAGCATTGCTTGTTTGCCCTTCCTCCCTCCACCTCGCCATCTCCTGGTTTCTTAGCACAGATTTGTCTTCCTCCCCCTCCGAAGAAGGAGAAACAATCAGACCACCACCACTGCCCTTGCTGTGGTTGCCACTGCCACTGCCGCTGCTGTTCTCGCCACCTTTCCCGCCACCATAACCACCACCAGGAGCAGCAGGAGCAGAAGGAGCAGCAGCGGCGGCCACGCCCGCCCCGCCAACCACTAACCCGCCAGCGACTCCATTCCCTCCCGCTCCGCCTTCCACCCTCGCCTCCGCCATCCCCTCCCCATCGCTGCTTCCCCCCGCGCGTGTGCTTCCCCCCAACCCCACGGTTCCGCCGCTGCCCGCTCCCCCGCCACCTCCGCCCGCCACTCCGCCGTTGCGCCCCCCCAGTCGCTGCGTTGCGCAGCGCTCTTCCCCGCGCAACACGCGGTACAGCTCCGCGTACGTGTCGAGCCGCGACACCACCCTCTCTATATCCTCCAGAAATGCGCGGCTTCCCCCGTCCCCGCGACTTCCCCCGTCCCCGCGGACTCCCCCGCCAACAAGGCCCCCCACTCCGCCAGTGTTGCCAGCGCGGCTAGTCCCCCCCGCGCTGTACGTCGGGCCTACGCTTCCCGAAAATTTCCCCGCAAAGGCTCCCGTGAGTCCCCGCGCACGGTCCCCCTCCGTATCCCCGCTCATTCCGCCCTCGCTGTAAGTGGCAGCTTTCTCGCAGGCTCCGTTACGAGCCGCCCCGGTTGCGGATGTGGCGCCACACAGGCTGTGGCGCTAGCAGCGCTGCGGAACGCCGGGCTGCCGCAATATTAATTAGGTTGTGAGACGTTGCACGCAGCACGAGGAGCGCTGCTCTTGGGAATAGCAAAAGTGTCAAAAGTCCTGAAAATATGAACAGTCAGAGCAGCCTGTTGCAGCTGTCAAGCCAATTTAACGATTTAAGATCGCAAAGTAAGACTTCAGAATACAGTAACGTGAACCGTGGATGACGGCCCGGCGTGCCGTATGTTAGCGTTAACCCGAGGGCTGGGATAGCGTCAGGGGGGTATGTCATGAGAAACGGCGAGACAGAAGTTAACTGAGCCACCCGTGGTTTAGGTAATTCGTGGTATTATCGCCGAACACGTCAGCAGCTACGTAAAGCGTAGTCAGGCAGTCAGGCGGCCATTAGTAACGCGCAAGTCTGGCAGCAACGAAGCTACGATCCCTGCTGGAACTGCCTCCTCACCAAGCTTAATCCAACCTAAGCTTTACCCAAGGAACTCCACTGCCCCAGTATATTATATGTACGTGCTCAGGTTGGGCTGGCGGGGTTTGCGAGTCTGGTCTGGTGGTACCAGCACCCGCTCTGGTGCGAATAGCTTTCGTGCATGAGAGGTACGGCAAGTTGATTCTGCCCCCTTCACCCGCCTCGTCCTGCCTTCTCTGCTGCTCTGCGGCACCACTCTGCCACAAATTTTCCCGCCGCCTTTTTCGTCAGCCCCACTGTCGTCCTGACGCTGAAGAAATTCGCGACTGCTTGGGTTATCGTTGACGTCGTCGAGTTCTCGCGAGCCCAGAAATGCTTCTGGCGAAGCTCTAACGCCGGGTTACCTGACGCCCGTATTCCCCGACAAGTTCGATACGATCAACCCGCGCATTTTCTTGACTTTCTGGCTTCGCACTGTGGGCGGCTGTCAGTCAAGAGACCCCCAGAAACAAGGTGTGACGGACCAACCCCATATAATCCAACTTTCGATAACAAAACCGTGCTCCTGGGGAAATTATATGACCACTTGCAATAACGGCTGGGACAACTCTAAAGGTTGAAGCTTGTGACTCAAAAAGAATGTGATTGGGTTTATCTGGTGCTCTACCTTGTAATCATATAGTACATTCCATGTGTGTCTTTCAGTACATTGAAACAAGTCTGTTTAATCTCGTATACGGTGTTACTTATGTGTTTGCACTATCATTTCCAAAATACACATACGAACGCGCACGCACA